CCTCACTTGTGATCAAGACTGAGGCTTCATCTAAAGGCATGGGAAAGAAATGAGTGAAACATCCTGGTCTACTAGGGATGAGCGGGGAAATGTGGGCTCCAAGACCCATGGAGAACCAATGCTATACAATCCAATCCTAGCAGGGCCTCAGGGCAACTGTAGAGATCCTTCTCCTCACGTGGGACTCCTCCCACTTCCCAACATGCAAGTCTGTCTGTGAGGTGGGCAGTGTCTGCATGGGAGCTCTCCCAGCAAGGGCCTGTGCAAGAGCTCAGGAAGGAGACAGCAGCTCTCACTCTGCTTTCTATCCAACTGCACACAGAACCCTGTGTTCCATGCTTGCCATGTGGCTGGACAAGTACCCTGAGGATTTCTGCCAGTCCAAGGACCTGGCCAACCTGAGTAAGCTGATGGCCTACGTGCTGATCCACATGCCCTCCTCAGAGCTAGCAGGCCATGGACACCTCCTCCTCACCCAACTGAAGGAGCAGGAGAACAAGGGGGCAGACAAAAAGACAGAGGAGTCTTCAGGTAGATAACTGAGAACATGGGAGTAGGGATGGACACTGGTGTCCAATGGGATGAGAATCCCAGGATGGTGATTGGCCAGGTTACCCTAGTGAAACCCAGTCTGGAAGATGTCCTGTGATGGGGATTCTTCTAGAGCTCCCTCCATTAACAGTGCATACATTTCCATCCTTAGATTTGGGGCTGCACACAGCACCTGCACCTGAGATCAAGGCAGAGGATCCATTCATGATGGCAGCAGATGTGGTACTGGAATCCGGGGCTTCACCAGTTGGAGGGCCTCCACAGGACTGTGTTCCACACCTCGTGGTAGTGCAGTACGTGTCTTCTGTGTAAGAAGCACAACATCTTCTGCCTCCTGTGGGTTTCCAGCTGGTTCTGCTCACCCTCCTAAAATACAAAACACTCAGTTATAAAGGTAGGAGGTAACATTCCTGTCATTGGCAGTGGATATTCACCTTGTGCTGCCTAAACTCTGTCCAATCAACCTATGTTGTACTTGGGATGGATAGCAAAGTATCCACAGGGCTTCTCTGGCTGAGTTTTCTGTGGCGCATTAGCCACTAGTGGACTTTCCATTGTCCACCTGACAGCAGCTTTCTTCCCTTTCTTCCCTTTGTCAAGGGAAATATGTTTTAGTTGTTATATTTTTTTCACTGTTGGTCATTATTTTGATTGTTGATTTTAATAAAATGTCACTGTTTTTTCTAAGAGGTACATGTTTGGAGTATTAAATCACTTGTCCATTTCATACCCCAACATAATGTCTAAGTACTGACAATCTCCTAGTAGGGCACATGTAGAATATCTAAGTCCCAAGTAGAACAAATGAACTCTAGTATGCAAGATAGAAGCTGATGGACTCACAGCAGTCAGTGAATGACCAAACAGAAAAGAGATGCAGGTATATGCTAAGATTGGGTCCCTGATGTTTCGGCACACACGACATATCACAGCACAAGACTTAACACCTAGAATGCTGACCTTGTTTTTCTTGTCTCTCTCCATTGTCTCCAATTGAGTCAACTTGGTAGATCCTAACATCATCTTGTCCTGAGTAGCCAGCATGACAAGCATGAAACACCAGGGCCCACACACTTTGTTTTTATTTATACATAATTGACAAAGACAGGCATGGTTTGGAGGGACAAACTAAAGGGAAAACTAACCACTGACTTATCAAATTATAGCTCCCCATACAAAACCTTGATAATAAAATTGTTTAAAAAAAAGAGAGATGGGGCTGCGAAGGTGGCTCAGTTGTCGAGTGCTTGCCTTCCATGCATGAGGTCCTTAGATTCCTCAGAACCACATTAGCAGAAAAAAGCCAAAAGTGGTGCTGTGGCTTGAGTGGCAGACCTCTATCTTTGAGCTGAAGAACTGAGGGACAGCGCCCAGCCCCAGAGTTCAGCCCCCACAACTGACAAAAAGAGAGACAGAGACAGAAACAGACAGAGACAGAGGGGGGCGCTGGGTATGTGGCTCAGTGGCAGAGTGCATAACGCCCTGGGCTCAGTTCCTCAGTACCACATACACAGAAAAAGCTGGAAGAGGTACCCTGGCTCAAGTGGTAGAGTGCTAATCTTGAGCAAAAGAAGCTCAGGGATAGTACCCAGGCCAAGAGTTCATGCCCCAGCACTGGCACATAAAAGGACACATATACAAACATAATTCACACACAAGCATGTTTATAAAGCAACATACTACAGTACCTCACCAGAAATTAGTGGAATGGGGCTCGCTTCAGCAGCACACAATATAAACTGGAGTAACATAGGGAAGACTAGCCTTGTTCCTGCACAAGAAAGACATACAAGTTCCTGAAGTGGTCTCTGTGTTTCAAAATGATAAAGTACCATTCCTAAAAGCTTCTAAAATGGAATGGTAACCATCACCACTATTTTAGGAAAATACATTTGCAATCCTTATGGTCCTTTTACATAGTGGAACACAGTATGTGTGAACACAAAAGTTAAATTAAAAATATCCAAATGCCAATACAGTCATTTCAAATATGCCAACAAGAAAGAACTATTCCACAAAAAACTTAACAACAAGGAGGGGAAAACACCTGGTTGAGGTTTACACAAGACCTACATGATGTAGGCTTCAGTAGCCTGAGACGCACATGCCCAGGTCAACATGAATCCCGCCCCGCGTCCTCCCTGCAGGCAGACGCCACCGCAGCCAAATCCGCCCGCTCCGTGCCATAACCCCGACCCCTGGCCACCCCAACTGTCTTTCCCCTTGTGCTCGGCCGCCCCACCTTCCCGCAGCCAGGCCCCGGAGCCAGGCAGCCCCGCGCTGCGTCCCCCGCAGGTCCTCACGAGACCCCGCGCCCCGCACCGCGGCAACCAGCAGCGCCTGCGCGGCCGCGGCCCCGCCTCGCCCAGCGTCCGCTCCGACCCAGGCCCGGCGGCCTCCGCCAACACGCCTGGATGGAGGGGCGGGCAGCGGGGCGGCCTCCCGAGCCCCCCGCGAGGCCCATCGGGGTCTCCGGAACACAGACCTCGGCCCCGAGACCCCACGGCCATGGGCACCTCAGGAGCAACAGCCACGGATCTGCAGGCTGAGGTCAAGGCCCCGGCCCAGCTAACCTTCCCCTCTCCATGGCATCCCTGCCGCTGATCATAACCGGAAATCCGCCATGTCTGGACACCGCTGCTTCCGGCACAGGTTCCGCGCAGCTCAGCTAAGCTGCGTGTATCCTGCGCGTGCGCACCAAATGCACAGGCTTGGTTTTTATTTTCTGCAGACACTGGGCCTGCATAGAGACACGAGTAGTTGTTATTCAACTTAATATTAACCTTCATGCAGATCTAAGTTAACTCACAGACCCAGGCTCCCTCCAAATGGTAATTATCAGGTTGGACTCCGAGGCTCTTATCTCCAGTGAACCAGGAGAAAACCAGAAATGGTACAATGGATCAAAGTGGTAGAGCCCTAGCCTTGGGCAAAAGAGCTCAGGAACATTGGTCAGAACAAGAGTTCAAGCCCCAAGACTGAGAAAAATTAATGTAAATCAATAAAAATGACAATATCTGCCTTTCATATGGAGCTGAGACTTTCCCTCGATCTTTACCTTCCAGACAAAGAAGCCTCCAAATGCAGATGAGACAACTACTTAAAACAATATCAAGACATTCTCACTGTATTCCTCCGGTGCTTTCTAAGATCCTTAGCCAACAAAGAATATTGGGATAAATGAGACTCATGTGGGACAAACCTTGGTTCTGTGTTTACTAAAATTGGAGCTAGAAGTCAGTCTCTAGGTGATGGTCCCTCTGATACTAATGCTCAAGTCTAACCCCCTGCCAACTGAGCCACAGCTTCACTTCCAGCTCTTTTGTGCTGAGAGAAAAAACTCTCCAACTCTTGTCTGGGCTGGCTTATAATTGTAATACTTAGATTTTAGTCTTCTGAGTAGCTAGGGTTACATACACCAGCTACCAGTGACCAGCTCTAGTGAAACAAGTGTTAATTACTTTTTTGTCCTTTCTTCTGAAGTCAGTGCACTGACCTCATTAGAATTAATGACTATTTCATAAGTTAAAATGGCAACATGACAATGAGATACACAAACATAATCACTAGATATTCTAATTCAAATAACTATTAGAGGGGCTGGGAAGGTGGCTCAGTGGTAGAGCGCTTGCCTTGCATGCCTGAGGCCCTGGGTTCGATTCCTCAGCACCACATAAAGAAAAAAGCCGGAAGTGGCACTGTGGCTCAAGTGGTAGAGCGTTGGCCTTGAGCTGAGGAGCTGAGGGACAGCACCCAGGCCCAGAGTTCAGGCCCCACAACCGGACCCAAACAAAAACAAAAACAAGTAACTATTAGATGAACAATCTGGAAAAACTAGTATATGTTATTAACAAACATTTCTCAAACCAAGTAGGACATAGGCCTCTAATTTCATTGGGCAAAGTCAGTAAAGAATAATTTGAACCCAGGAATCAAAATATCAGATCACATTCTGCATTCATATGGTGAAAAATACTATTATTTTGTGGAACTGGGAACTAGAGAAGACTGTAATGGGTACAAGATGTCCTGTCAAGTTTTCTGCCTCTTAGACTACATGATCCAGCATATTCAATAGAGCTTGAAATGTCAGTGGAAAATAGCAATGCTGCTGAGCATCTCTAGCAAACCCATCATAGATCTGGCCCTTACTATATTAGAGCAGATCCCTGTCCATCCTCTGGAAATAGCTATTATACTCTTTGAACAAATGACATTTGTACTGAAATTGGGCTTTAGCAGAGAACAAATGCTTACACTTGGCTGCCAATTAACTATATGGCCTGAGAAGCCTGTGGTGAGTTTGGTGATATCTTATAATCTTAAGCTAGAAATTTAGGCACAAAAAGCTATACTCCATGATTAAGTGGAAGTGATATAAAGAAGATTGGGCTCAGGACAAGAAGATAAAGAAAATAGTTGTCATTCCATCTTTCCTAGCTTCACCAATGGCCGTACAAGGAGTTCCTTTCAAAAGAATGACACACAGACACGTTCACACACAGACACATTCATGCAGGTTTACAAATATCTGTACTTGATGTGTAATCATCTCCTGGAAGTGGATAGCAGGAGGACTCTCTCTCCTCTTCAGATACCTTTTGTAAGCGTATTCACCCCCACTTTGGGTTGTCAGCCCTCGCCCTAGGTCCTTCGCAAGCCAGGTTAGGCCATAGTTGTCTATTCCCACCCGCCCTGGCTGCATCAGCAACAGAGTCCGGATACTAGTCTTGGTCTCACACTGGTTCTAGTGCTGATCGTAAGGTGCCAACTATAGAATGTATTGTCTCTGCTCCAAGATGTTTCCTCTGGCTACATGACAGCTATAAGATATATTGGTTTTGTTACATGCTAGATATAGAATGTATTCTGTCTGTGATGGATGATGTTTTCCCTGGCTGCTCAGGACAGCTATAGAATGTCCTGCCCTGGCTGTTGGATATTTTCAGTGTCCCATCTGTGACTACAAAGATTTCCTGCCTAGCCTCTTCTTCTGCTCTCAGACTGCTGACATTGTATCTACCTCTAAGACTGCAAGAGCAGTTTGCTACTCTCTATTGTATGAGAACCTGTCAGCCTCTAGCTGACATTAAACACTTCTTTCTTTAACGTGACTGTGTGTCCCAGTTTTCTGGATCATTGCTTACAACTTTGAATGCAGAAATGAACACAAATCCACCCAGGTCAACACAAGCTATATACATGCATTTAGCTGCTTATTTGCTTAAAAAAATAATGACAGTCTTGCCTAGCAAGTGCAAGGTGCTTGGTTTGACATTCAGAACAAGTTTTTGTTTTTTGTTTTTGTCTGTCGTGGGGCTTGAACTCTGGGCCTGGGCACTGTCCCTCAGTTCTTCAGCTCAAGGCGAGCACTCTACCACTTGAGCTACAGCGCCACTTCTGGTTTTCTGGTGGTTTATTGGAGATAGGAGTCTCATGGTCTCTCCTGCCCGGGCTGGCTTTGAACCGCGATCCTCAGATCTCAGCCTCAGCCTCCTGAGTAGCTAGGATTACAAGCGTGAGCCACTAGCTCCTGGCTACAGAACAAGTTTTAAACAAAGAGCAAAGGGTGGGCTAGGAATGTGGCTTAGTGGTAGAGTGCTTGCCTAGCATTCATGAAGCCCTGGGTACCACATGAACAGAAAAAGGCAAGGAAGTGGTGCTATGGCTCAAGTGGTAGAGTGCTTGCCTTGAGCAAAAAGAAGCTCAGCTCAGGTACAGTGCCCAGGCCCTGAGTTCAAGTCCCAGGACTGGCAAAAAAAAGAGCAAAGGTAATCCTGGTACAGGTGCCTCGCACCTGTAATCTAGGCTACTCAGGAAGCTGAGACATGGGATGGCGGTTCAAATTCAGTCTGGGAAGGAAGTCAACGAGACTCTTATCTCCAACCAACCACCAAACAAAAGCCAAAACTGTAGTTGTGGCTCAAGTAAGTAGAGTGCTAGAGTACAATCCCTGATCACAAAAGCTCAGGGATTGCCCCCAGGCCCTGAGTTCAAGCCTCAGGAGCAGCAACCTCCTTCCCCCAAAAAGACTGAAGGGCTGGGAAATGGTGACTTCCACCACTAATACTAGATACTTAGAAGGGTGGCATCTGAGGATCAGGATTCAAAGCCAGCCCAGCCAGGAAACTCTGTGAGATTCTTATCTCTCATTACCAGGAAACAGTAAATGGTGCTGTGGCTTAAAAGTTGTAGAGGGAGCCGGGCGTTGGTGGTTCACGCCTGTAATCCTAGCTACTCAGGAGGCTGAGATCTGAGGATCGCGGTTCAAAGCCAGCCCGGGCAGGAGAGACCATGAGACTCCTATCTCCAATAAACCACCAGAAAACCGGAAGTGGTGCTGTAGCTCAAGTGGTAGAGCGCTCGCCTTGAGTTGAAGAGCTGAGGGACAGTGCCCAGGCCCAGAGTTCAAGCCCCACGACCGACAAAAAAAAAAAAAGTTGTAGAGGGGCTGGGAAGGTGGCTCAGTGATATAGTGCTTACCTCGCAAGCATGAGGCCCTGGGTTCGATTCTTCAGCACCACATAAGCAGAAAAAGCTGGAAGTGGTGCTATGGCTCAAGTGGTAGAGTGCTCACCTTGAGCCGAAATGCTGAGGCACAGCACATAGGCCCAGAGTTCAGGCCCCATGACCAACCCAAAAAAAAAAGTTGTAGAGTGCTAGCCTTGAGCAAAAGAGCTCAGGGACAGTGCTTAGGCTTGAGTTAAGCCCCACAACTAACAAAAAGAAAAATTGCATTGCTAGTAGATAGTTGAAAATATTAACTATGATTTTTTTGTTTGAGTATGGGTACTGGTTCTTGAACTCAGAACCTAGACATTGACTTTTAGCTTTCTTTGCTCAAGGCTAGTGCTCTAGCACTTGATCAACAGCTCCACTTCTGGATTTTGGTGATGAATTGGAGAAAATAAACCCAGATATTCCTGTACGCACTGACTTTAGTCTGTGATCCTCAGATCTTATCTGATTAGTCACATATGATTTCTAACCAGTTGCAAAGTCAGGAATATAATTATTCCTGAAATTTTATTCCTGAATAATAGAAGTGTAAGGATATTTCTACATACTTAACTCCCTTAATCATTACCATTATATTTTGTCATCTCTAAAACCAAGCATTACATGGGAAGAAAGAACAGTGGATAGAGAATAGGTAATTAACAGATGTTGACTTATACTAAAAAGAATATATAATCTGGTACATTTAATTCACAACTATCTCAAATTCTTCTCCAAAGGACAAGTGTTTTGTTCTTTTTTTATACTAGTCCTGGAGCCTAAACTCGGCCTAGGAGGCTCTTCCTGAGTTTTTTTTTCCTCAAAGCTAACACACTTGCACTTGAGATACATCTCATTTCTTACATTTTGCTGTTAACTGGAGATAAAGAGTCTCACAGACTTTCCAGTCTGCTGTGGCTTTCAACGGTGAGTATCAGATATCAGCCTCCTGAGTGACTAGGATTACAGTTGTGAGCTGTGGGTGTCCAGCTTACAGGACAACAATGTTAGGAGCCAAACATTCCACAGAGAGTTAAGACTGATTATTCCCTCCTTCTTCTTAGCATTGGCCATCTATGAGTGTAAAGCAAGAAGCAGGTCCTAAACCTCAGTTATGCCATCATAGGCTCA